CAAGTGTGTTACAGTCTCTTCGCTAATGATGACATCTTTGGCGACCAACTTGAAACTGACATGTCCATACCCTACCGTTTCCACTTCTTTTTCTTTTCTTCTTCTTCTTCTTCTTCTTCTTCTTCGTCTTCTTCTTTATCTTCCCTTTCCCGTTCCACTTTCCCCCTACCTTTATCTTCTCGGGAAGGGGGTGGAACGCACACGACTCGGTGGCTGCCTACCTCACACCTTAGCAAATGACGGACCCCACCCGTCATGTCTACTCACCCATCACACTCCCCTTCCCAACTAATTCAGCCTACCCTCAGCCTCCCCATCCTTCTTTTTCTACTCTCCACAACACACTCTCCCTCATCACACTGCGTGTGCCGTCAGTGCGCCTTAAATGCGCAGTGGAAAGCACAATGCAAACTACTGTGACACAGCAGCTCGAGCCAGGGCTCAACGAAGTCAAGTCGGTTGTCCCGAAACTAAATGCTCTCGTCACTCGAGGAAGGTGCTGCAGGGTGATTGCGGTCATTATTTGGCAGTTGTGCCAGTCATTTTCACCTGCCTCACTGTTATTTGTGTCCTCCTGTTCTCCACAATGTGCGCATTTTACCAGTGTGCATCAGGGAGAAGTATGTTCTTCATGATTGGTGCTGTTTTAAAGGCCTTCCACTAAAATGTCGGCATTTCTCGGGTGCCATGGAAGCATGCGTGAGTACGGAATGCATGCAAGCATGTCATGCGGCCCTCAAAATACATTTGGCCTAGTAATTACGTCCAGGCTGAGGCGACGAGGAATGCCACCGTTAGTGAATCCGACTCGAAATTGCAGAATGCACAGAAATGAGGGCAATGCTTCCTCAAACGGGACTACACTTTCGTGCAAATTCATTCCAAGAGATGGCGATAACAATTTTAGGGGCACTACGTAGTTACTTTGAAGCTACATCTCCGTGGGCAGAAACACTGAGTCGTTTCGTTGTTTAAGTAATAACCCCAATTAAAGTTAATAATTCGCGGCACTTCATATCCTTCACAAATAATGGGACAAATTTAGTTAATCAACGACGAGTTGAAGTCAGCCTTGGGCAGTGCGAAACCGTAAATGCGTCGGCCACAACATTTCCTGTGTCAAGGAGTCGTAATTTCGGCATTATTGATGGATTAGAGTTGATCGTAAGCTCAAAGATATTCTACATTTCAAGGATTCCATCATAGACCCAAGAATGTGCTCGGACCACACTAAGAAAAAAGGCCTTTAGTAAGTACGCACAGCAGCATCGATGAAGGATTCGCCGTCCAGTCACAAGCAATCAACAACGATGGAGTGATGCTTGAAGATGAATGAACGAACTTACGGAGAACGTCGTGGTGAGCAGTTCGGCTTGATGCTGCTCTGGAATGAAGCAAAAGGCAGAACAGCTAAGTCGATGCGCAAGATTACACATGACTCTGGAGTCGCCAGGAACCACAAGCGAACGAGGACGCCGCCTAGCATTGCAATTTATGCCGCCAGCACCGTCGCCACCACTGAGGAATACCGATTTGTGGATGGTGTACCAAGGAGGGGCAATGTGAGGTTGGAAGTGACTGGGAAGCAGAAGAGAGCATTTCGCATCACTGGGTGGCAATCGTGCCAACGGTGACAATAAGGCGTTGCGTCGCAGAAGAGATTGTCGGAGGTTTGGCATTCCCGACAGTACCACGCTGACCACACCACATGCTATCGTCAGCACGTATGCCCAACCAACCTCGCATCGACCTGAACGCAGCACACACCACCCACTAATAGTGCAACTTGACAGCATTAGATCAACTAAATGCCACCCAAATACCTCCTCTTTATATTCACACCCTGCAGCTACTTACTGGCCATAAGTAGACTGCTCCCGAACGCTCATACCAATTCAACTCAGTTACGACCGCACTATCAGCACTTGAGTCCAACAATGGTTGACGCGACGTTGGATGAAGTGAAAGGAGACATACCTAATTTGTAACTCCACTTCCTTGACCGCAAATCTCTGAGTTGTTGGACCAACCGAGAGGGTAGGCAATGCAGACGACAATACAAAGGTCACCTGAAAGTAGAAGAAAGGATTGGATGCTTGGTTAGTTGGTTTGCTCACACAAACGCTCCTCTATTTAGTCACGAACTCCTGAACTGGGAAGTAATCCTTCAAAGTATGCATCAGAGACTTACAACATGCATGTAGCCATTATTGCTCACCTTCGTTGGGGCACTTTTCCTATACCCACGTTACTTTGCTCCAGTTCGTGTCGCTATTTGGAATGAGTTCATTGCGCCGCACTTGAGATTATTTTGGCTTTGACTTACCTTGGGTGTTTATTATTCTGGGCCCTAAGTCACAACATCAACAGTAGGTTTGGCGCAGACACAGAGGCTAAAATTTAATGTGAGGTCAGTGGCTACACCCACGCTTTGATTTAACCAATGACTGTGCACACGCTGCCGATCAAAGATATTCTAAATCGGCGTCTAACGTTGAATGAAATGTCTGCCCGTTTTGGAAGACTCGAAAGTTCCCTGTGTTGTGCCAAGACATGTAGTCACAACGATGGTGAGCTGAAAAGCACTTATGTAAAAACATTGGCTTAGCAACCAGCTAGTTTTGCCAGACAATCCGCCATTTGCTTGAGTCATAAGCAAACTGCAATCGAGAGTGTGGAATGGAGAGATCATAGCTGAGCTGGTGGCAACGTGGGTTGAGGAAGGTTGCGGAAGAGTTGAGGGCACGCCCTCCCCTTGGACGGACTGGACATTGAATGAATCTTCCCCGACTACACAGTAGAGCTTCCCATGCAAGGGATGGGGGAAGCAAACAAACATCAAGTCGCTCGCCTAAACCCAAACCGAGGGAACTACGGTATATTGGATTGGAAGCGACAATAGAAAAAATGAGCGGAACTGTGGGAGTTAGCAGAAGGAGAAGAGAAGGAGGCAGGAAAACATTTCTTTCATACTTTCACTTATACGATGGCTGGGAGTTGTGATCCCTGTCTGCGTAAATTGCATGTAGGTGATGTGACCTAACGTCGTAATCAGAACAATCGACGCATTCGTCTTTTGGTGGTTGAGGTGTGCATCTATCACGTTCAGCTGACACGTACGGTGGTTCGTGTTGGCCCTTTTGAGGACCCGTCAACTCGCGCTTGCGTAACGTGCCAAATAATTCTCAATTACGATAGAGCATGACCCTGCAAGGTACATTAAATAACCTGCTGTTGTTCTATCCCATGGAACGGTGTACTGAATATAGTGAGCAAATTGTCTATTTAGATAAATGGACGTAATGTGACACTTCGTCAACCATTCTGAGTCCCAACAATACATTTTCTCGTCACGTGCTATGAGCTGTGTAGCATCTGCAGCAGCCGGTGAAGTTAGTGCAATGGATTGCGGTCCCAGGAGACGATAATGTAACTGACGAAGCACGGTTGCTATTTGCTGTTGGGTTCAACAAGGAGAATCTCGGTCGAGGTCCCATTGGCATTGCTGGTGCTTCTCTAGTCGTCCATCTCACTTGTCCAACCGACGTAGGTCACTCACTGTAAACCGATGTCTTCACACCGAACTCCCAGAACGTGTTTTAATGACTAGACCACGTAGTGTTGCTAATGATTAGAATGGGAACAAGGCAGTTTTAAGTAACTCCTACAAAGGAGGTCGCTTTTTGGTTTCCTTGTGTCACTCAACCATTTGTCATGGGATAACTCCCGCGTTAGGAAGCATTCGAAATCCACTAGTGCTTTCGGCATTAAACACGTGGTGATGAAGAACCGATTTTGTG